GTGGGTGCCCGGCTCGGTGCCCTGCGCTGTGCTGCGGGCCGTCCGAGCCTCTCCGAGTTTCTCTTGCGTGACAGCTCCAGCCTACAGCCGTCCCAGGCATCTTTAAGTGCGCCGGTTTCATAGGTAGCCTCTCAAAAGATGCAGTGCAGGAGGATGCCCTGGCACTGCTCTGTGTCAGAGGCACAGGGTAAAAAGCTGATGCTCTGGTTCCCTTCGGGATCCTTGCCCTGCGCCTGGCTGCCTTGGTTTACAGACCAAGTGTGTGCGGGCTTTTGGAGAGGATGGACTCTGGAGACGTCTGAAGGAGCTGGGCTCAGCCCTTCAGCCTTCACAAGTCTGGGGCAAGGGCTAGGCAATATTTCTGAGGAAATTTTCCGAGATGTTGGTATAGGGCAGACCCGGTGAGAAGAGCTGATTCTGTGACCCTGTCCTCCAGCGTGCGAGTGTGGCTGGGAGGCTGGGGGGCAGGGCATGGCTTCATGGGGGATCTACAAAATGCTTTTGGAGGTAAGGCAGAGAGCCAAATCCCACACCTTACTTTGTGCTGGGCTTGGTGGGGGACATGGACTCAGCACAGTACTAACCAGGCAACAGCATCGTGTCTCCTGCCTCCAGCATACTCCTTCCTGCATCAGTATTTTACCTGCTTTTCTCTTTCCGTCACTTTATCACTTTTTATGCTGGCACTTGCCAGTTCCTCTGAGGCACCAGCCGTCCTTTGTCCCAGCTGGTTTAAGTGACAAACACAGTGACATCCAGAGTGGTTTTCAGCCTGCGCTTAGCTTTGAAGGTGCTTCCATTTCAAGCCTGAGGAGAGCGTATGTGAAAGAAAAACACCACTGCTGCTTCTTCCAGATACGTTAGCTAGTCTAATAAAAGGTATGACCTCTCTCAACAAATCATCATTCTTGCTCCCCCCCCGCCCCAACAGGATGCATTTTGTGTAGATTTTTCCAGAGGAATCGCTTCAAAACAAAGATGGGCAGTGCTTGCCTCTGCCCGTGCCCCCACCTTTTTAAGGCTTATGGTCTCACGTCCCAAAGTCGATTCCTTTTAGAAGTGCTCAGCTTTTCCTGCTCGCTCCAGGTGAGGTTTGCCTTCGCTGACTGCTTCTGGGGGCGGGGGTCAGGGCCGAAAGAACTCAGCCGTCCGTTGGCAAAGAGGGAAGAGGCTAACAGAAGAGACAAGAAAAGGTTAGTGTGGCTTTTGTGCACAATATGAAAAGCAAGTCAATACCATTGTAGGGGCATTGGAGGGTACTCAAAGCAATCAGCCAGGGGCCATTGTGTTCCTTTAATCTACATGTGTATTTCCCAAGAACTCTATTAGTGAAGATGAATGAACTGTGCAATGTCCCTAATTTCTTCTAATTTGGAGCTGGGGTTTTATGGCACTCACAACCAGTACAAAACGTGCCTGTCCCTCCAGAAGCCCTGGGCAAACTTGGGAATCATTTTTGCTTGTTGTAGCAAAAAAAGATAGCAAGGTGAGATGGAGGAGCAAAACCTCTTTAGCCAGACTCTGGTCTGGCAGTAAGGGCAATGGGCACTGGATCCCGGCATGGATGCTGCTTTTAGGGCAGCTGTCAAAATTGTCAAATACAGGAACAAGACTCCCATTTTTTGCTGTTAATCGCAATGCAAATGTACAGCAAAAAAACTTCCACCCCCGAAGCAGGGTACACATCCCACACAGTACACGAGAGACCTTCCTCCCTCATAGAGAAGGATCCTCCTTCTCAGCAGCAGATTATTACAGCTGTATATGCCGTATGGAACTGCATTTGTCACTGTAGCATCCTTCTTGCAGGGGAATGGAGTTGTCAAAAGAGGAAGCAACTCCCTTGGTCACAGCCTGTAAAAATCTGGGGGGAAAAAAAAAAGCTGTAGCAGAGCAGAGCCCAGCTCTGACTCTTCCAGCTCCATATCTATCTTTTCTCTCTTGCCATGCTTAAGGCGCTGACTGTGGTGCCCTGACGTGCACAGGAGCCATCGCACAGCTCTGGGGAGGGAGGAAGCCTAATGGTTCCTTTGATGATTGGAGACTAACACAGAGAGTTTAGGATGGCAAAGGTAACGGTCTGAACATTTCTCTGTGGGTCTAATGTACTGGCTGTTCGCTAAATCCCCTGCTGCCAGAGTCCCCTGGGACTCACCTCATACTAGTATGAAGCCTCAGTAATTGATACTGTGGTACACCACAGCTTCGCAAAGACCATTTACCTTCGGAAATTTACAGGGGCAATCAGGATCAAATTTGAGAATATTCATTAGGGGATGAAATGGGTGGGATTTGTTACTTGCCTTTGCAAAAGATGGCCCCCATTCCATCACCTTTTTTAGTTTTTTTGCAATTATTTTTGTATTATTTGTATTATTATAACAATTACTGCTGAAAACGTTTGGAAGCTAACAAAAATTCTCAAGATGGACAACCTCTAAAAGTGCAGCTGCCTGCTATACCTCCGTTCTGTGCATGTGTAGTGAAGACTAAATGGGAATAGTTTCGATCCTGTTGGTGCTGCTGAAACATATGTATGGGACGTGGCTTCACACAATGAAATCGGCACCATAAAACGCCACAGATTCTTCCTTCCTTTCCTCCTGTCTTTTCTTTATGTCCAGTGAAATAATTACTGCCTTGCAGCGTAGACATTTGAAGCTGAAGTCACTCTGCAGGTGGGACATCACTCTCCAGACCAGTGATGTGCAGCAGGGAGTGCCTCCCTGAGAGATAAACAGGACTTTCAAGGTCAGACAGCAAATCGACAAGGGGGGGACAGTGTGGGGCGAGGAAAAGGGGGAAACATTCACCCAGTGGGAACCTGTACCCTGCTGCAGTTTGCATACTCTGTATCATCCAACAGACTGTTAAAAACTGGAAAAACTGGCCTGGCTTTTTTTCTCTTCAGAAGTCCCTAAGCGTACAGTTTAAGAACCTCCTTGAAAGCACGATGCGTGAGGAAGCTGCTACCTCCTCCTATCACTGTATCACTCATACCTTGACAATCACCTCCTGCTTTTTTTCTGGTGAGATTTTTCTTTATCTGCCCCTAGGAGAGTTGGTTGTGTTTTCTCCACCGCTTACAAGGTGCTCTGTGGCATGCAGGAATCCCACAGAGCGTGCGGCGCAGGACCCCGTGCAGCGCAGTGCCTGAGCCTCCACCTGGCGTCCTGATCCCGGTGCTCGTCCTGGCTGTGGGCATGGCATCAGCCCGGCTGCTCGGGCAGCGGGGCAGCCCTTTCTGGGTGGTGAGCAGCATGGCTCTGGTGCGAGGGCTCGCCACGCTCAGGCTCGCCACGCTCAGCCATCCCTCTGGAGGGAGGGAGTGGAGGTTCATGCTGTAAGGCTATATTAATGCAATCCTTCTTTACTTGTTTTCCAATTAGCCTAATTGAATTCGGATTGCTTAAAAGTGGGCACTAGAGACATTTATCTTGATGGGATGACAGCCTTGAGCTCCAGCGATCCTATTAACTATAAGAACCCAAATCCCAGGTAGGGTCCGTCCAGCAGTAGCTCCCATGTGACCTAACGCTTTAATCTGCTCCTCTTCCGTACAGCACCCACGCACACAGAGACACACACACACGCATACACATACATGCACACATGTGCATAGGTGCATGCGCATATGTAAACATGCATTTGTGCACACAAGTGCATACACACACCCCCCAGCACACATGCATATGCACACACACGCAGTGGCTGCCTCTTAAGGTTCCAGCAGCCTTAGGAGAAAGGTTGTTTAGCGCAAGACCTTGGAGAAAGACCTCCTTTCCTTTTTCTTAAGAGGCAGAGTCAGTGTGCTGCCTGCCTGCTGTGCTCCCGGCTCTCCCATGATCTGTCCCCGGGGCTAAGCATCTTGAGAGCTGCATGCCCGGTGACGTGTACCCCATGTGGCCCTGCCACCTCCTACGTGCGTGCCTCCCCAGGCCTGCAGCTGGTGTCTGAGGGCAGGGACAGCCAGGGATGAGCCATGCAGGTGCTGGCTGGGAGCAGGGCAGCCACCTCCAACGTGGTGAGGATCAGGCTCCTGCTGAGGGCAGGACAGATTTGCAGCTGTGCCCTGGCCATCACACCGCCCTACGTGGGGGGATTTGGGGCAACAGTGCTGGCCCCTCCGTGGGGCTGGGACCCACTGTGCCCCACCACTCCTCTGCACAGCCCGATGCCAGCCACAGGGCGGATGGAAGCCCTGGCCCCCAGGGGAAATTCTGTCTGCACGTGGGAGCTCAGGGCAGAAACCAGCACCTCCTGTGATGTAGCCCAGCTCTGCCACTCCAGACCGAGAGTTTTTAAGTCTCTGGCTCTAAAAATGGCGCCTAAGGCAGCTCACTCGTCTCCCAGCAGCAGATAAGCATGGCTTTGGCCAGCGCCAGGGCTGGGGAGCGTCCCATGCCGTGGATGGGGAGGTCCCCTGTCCCGTACCAGCCCGCAGCCACCTCCCAGCCCCACTGGCCTCTGCTAGCCCTGACATTTTTTTGGAATCTCATTAATCACTTGTTTGGTGATTCTGATTGTACTTTCTTCTTTGACCCTTTAAACTGTGAGAATGCTGATCCTATATATGCTGATGAATTTAATTAGCTCCTTTAGACCACCAGATGCTTTCAGTAAGAAAGATTTTCAGGATGTCCCAGCCACATTTTAATTCAAAGGTCAAAAGCCTTAGGCTTGTTTACTTTGGCATTTTATAAATAAGACAATTCAGTCTGTAAAGTAACAGAACAGTATGGAGACACCTACCAGATTTATACAAATACAGAGGGAAATGGATTGATCCTCACAAGCCAAAGGCCAGCTGAGCTGAGCTGGCAACTATTCTAACTACTTTATGTAAAGATCTCCTAAAAGAGCCCACCTGTCTTTCTGCATAGATAATTAAATTCTGTGGTGACATGTGAGAGAAGGATCCCAAGAGACAGAAGTAGGATCAGAAGTCTTGGTGGTTTTAGGGCAGAGTGTTTGAGACTGAGTTAGCATTTGCTCGCTCTGATGCTTGATGAACGTGCTGAAGCTAGGTCTCCTCCACTAAAGAAGTGACCTGTTACAATGCAAGAGCCACTGACATCCGTCTCTGAATGGACCAGGGCATCCCCTGGAAAAAGCGAGGAAGGTAAACTTGACAACTTCTGTGTTTCTTAAATAAGAAAGAAGTGAACAAGAAGAAAAGGCATATTTTCTTGGGGCTACAATGGGGAAAATATTTGATAACAAATTTTCAAACAAGTCTATGCAACTTATATTTGAATAGTGATTGCTGAAAGAGCTTTTCGAAGATGATCTCTTGCATCCAAGAACCCCCCCTACACAGAGGAGTCCATGGAGGACAGGACCAACACCTGCCACCTCTCCCTGTCCCCAAGCTGGTAACTCCAGCATCCCTGCCAGGGAGCCACGGCCGGCGGCTCCCGAAGGGACGGGAGCGCGTGTGGTACGCAGCCAGCAGAGCAGGGCTGAGCCCCACACTGCCCCAGGGAGGCACGGGGGCGGATCAGGGATGGTGACTGGGTGCACCGGAGGGTCCGGATGGCCAAGCAGGACTGCGGTGGGGAGGCAGGTCTAAGGCCAAGCTGGGAAGTCCATCCATAGGTCAGAATTGGGGCCAGCGATCACCAGGCACATACAAGGTCCAGCTGGCAAGTCCGTTTGCAGGTCAGGGTCTGTGCCATGGCCAGGCACAGACGTGGCTGTGGCCAGGCTGGAGGCAGGCAGGGCTGCAGCACAGTTCAGGCAGGGACTGAAGGCCCAGTCCTGAGCTTAACTGGAGGCTCAGGGCCCATGGGCAGGGGTTTGGGTGAAGGGCCATTGAGAAAATAAACAAAAAGTTCTTTGGCCACCAGACTTGTAGGAGAAAGCAGTTTTTCTGGCAAAAAGAGTTAAAGCAGCCATCGAGGGTTGATGGCCCCTTGCCAGGGCTGATACAGTGGCTCAACATGGCACAGAGCTGTCTTGGACACCTGGGTGTACCAGGCCCTTGCTGGCAGCGGGCATCACAGCAGCCTGGCGCAGAGAGCAGCTACATTAAAAAAAAATAAATCTGCTTATGTTAAAAACTAGAGCAAGACAAGAAGATTGGATGTTTTCTGCAGCTTCTGAAGGTCCCTTCTAACCTTTCTTGCCATCTAACCTTTCTGGCTTTCTTGCTTTCTTGTCTGGAGGATTTTTCTGTTGAACAGCAAAGCAGAAATAGACCCCTCCAGGCGCATGCTGAAGGAAGCCTTCCCCCATTTCTCCCTTCCAGAGGGGGAGAGGCACACTTTTAGCAACATCATGGGAAAAAGGCAGGCGTTGTTGAAATGGACACGCTCCTCTAGGAACGACCTGGTCTCTCCTCACAGGCTGCACCAGTGCCTCACCCAGCTCCTCATCTGGGCAGCAGGA